TATCCAGTGAGCAGCAGCTGAGTGAAAAGGCCTTGATGATGTCAGAGCTCGGAGGAAAGTGGCCTGCTTTAGCTGATAAGAAGGTAACAAAAAACCAAGTAACTTATATGAACTCTTGTTACAACCAAGGAAGGCAGAAGAGCATCTCTAAATGCACAGTGCAGAGTAGAGTTTGCATGGGCTCACCAAAATTGATGAAGATCATAAAAATGCTTCCATAACTGATGAGTCTCAATTTCAGCCCTGACATTTGACTGGGAGGGTGAGAATCTGGCTTAACCTCCTAGGACCTGCCGTCCACATATGTGGACATCACATTTTGGGTTATTTAGACCAAAATACTCAATTTTGCTCTGCATGGGCCTGATATCCACTTACGAGGACTTTATACTGCTACTGTTCTGTCAAATTTTTAAATGAATATCCTCATTTGTGGCTCTCATTTTCTTTAAAACAAAAATAAGGTAAAAAAAAATCTGGTAATTATTTGTTTTTTTCCGTTCTTCGGGCCCCAATATGCCCAAATATCAAAGAGAAATTAAAAATGCATGTCGTGGAAGAGTCTTTGGAGGATAAACATGAAAGCAGGACTCCGTCCTTCCTGGGTGCAGACTCCTGGTGGTGGTTTAATGGTGTGGGAGACATTTTTGGGCGGCTCCTTGTACCAAGTGAACATTGACACCTCAGCCTGAGTATTTTTGTTTTGAATGTCCATTCCTTCATGACCACAGTGCACCCATATTTTAATGTCACTCACTAGAGTTCAGATCATTGGAAACTGGTTTCTTAACACGACGATGAGTTCACTGTATTCAAATAGCACAGTCACCAGATCTCCACCTTTGGGATTTGGTGGAGCATATGGTTACAGTTTGTATTCTGCTCTCAAGATGACCTTTAATTGAATCAAGGCACATCTGAAATGCACACTAAGAGGAAAGCAATACATGTATATGAAATACTTGCAAATTCACACCCTTCTGCCTTTAATGGATTTATACGTCAGCTGGCGTTGGCGACCTTTATGCCCCGATTTTAACCCTCTCAGGCTCAAATTAAACTTTTTGTTGCTAATGCACAACCAAGTCCTGCAGTGGTACTTCGGAGTAAAAAAAAACTCATAAAATATGTATGTGGGGTAGTCAGGTTGGTAGTTTTTAACTGTTGCAAATCGGCAACGCCTGCCTCGAGAGGGTTAAAACGAGATTAAGAAAACAGACTTAAATGTCAGTCTTCTTTCATTATTCGTGTTGGAGATCGAATGTGTGATTGTCATTTTCCAAGACTTTAATGCATTCATTAAGTGTTTATTTTCAAATATGCACAATCCCTTATATACATAAATATGTTCAGTGTTCAGAACGCCACATTCACAAATCACGATCGTCAACAGTAGTTACAAGTTGCAAGAAATAAAAAAAGTCTGCTTGCCACACACAACAAAATTAAAACACCAACTCCAATATCAAAGGCAAAGGGAGTTAACATCAGCTGAAGATTGAGTTCGTGCCACCATTTAAGTCGATGTCTCAACACTAAACCAACCTTTCAAAGCCGAATGAGCTGCAAATGAGGCTCTGTCACAACACACTTGTATTAGAGAAGTGTTTTGAAAATGTAACGCACTTCACATTCTGGCTCCACATTTAAAAACAAGGATGTAGACTATGACTAAAAGCAGCCAGTGTTCATGACTTTGACTGAAAACGAATGAAAGCAAAGCCACGTGTGTTCTGTTAATCAAGAACGAACTCTTTCAGATGCTATCAAACAAAAGGACATCCCAATACAGATATTTACCAGCACACACGGCCACACACTGTTGGCATTAAAGCTACAAAAATAAACAAAACAAAGAAAATTCTGTCTGTCATTTTAATTTCATGAAAACAAGATAAACTCCAAAGAGAGGGATCCTGTCCCAGATGACGCTGGGCGAGACGCACTGGACCGAGATAGAAAGAGATACCAATACAGTACATGCTCACAACATGGGTGTTGTCAGAATCACTGATTAAACCATGCATATGTCAGGTTGCTGAAATAACAGTACAACACAATACCTACTTAACACATACGGTAACTGCCTGTGCTGTTCCAGAAATAAAATGTCAGTCAAAAATATGATTGTGTTTTATTTTTCAGGAAAACCAGATCAAGTATCTCAAAATAATCACAAACCAATTCAAATACACGTGTATATTGAACCTGAATCATTAAAGTGGACCTATCCTGCTCATTACTAGTCCCGTATTTTTAATACCTAACTCCAGAGCTAGCTCTTGCTTTCCACATTTCACAGTTCAAAAACAACCCTCCATTTAAGCCAGCTTTCTTCTGATTGGCTGCCGTTCTCAAATGTGCTACTGTTCTCGCAGTGAGATCTGTGTGTCTGAGATACGGAGGAGAATTAGGGCCACCATGTTCTCTCTCTCTGACATCAAACAGATCCAAGAAAAGAGAAACAAGTTGGACATTTAGGACAGTGTTTTGGTTCACCAGGATTTCAGTTGAACCCAGTATTTGAAACTCTGGCCATGTTTAATTGGAGCATCCACTACCAAAACAGTTTATGTGACATGATCAGGAAAAGCAGAATAGGTCCACTTTGAAGTAAAAAATCACCTTTTCTTTGCTATGATCAAGGTTTTTGTTGTATTTTTCTGCGCAACCTTTGGTTTATATCTCACTTTTAAATGAAGGAGCCACCTTTCTCAACAATCATTAATTCAGTCTTCTTCACACTACTGGTTGGGACTTAAAGCCAGGGAGTGTAAAATAGGGATCAGCTATTCTTGGTTAAAAGTTAAAAGGGAACATCAGGCCGAAATGTGCCGAGTATTTGGAAACACTGCGAAACTGTAGCATCTATTGAAAGTTTGTAGCATTGGGCATTTGGCTTTTATATCTATAAACTGGATGGAAAACAACCTTCCCCTATAATAATGCATTCCCACTGGTAACAGCCTGTGGGAAACACTGCAGTAAAATGTGGTGACAACAATAAAAAGAGTGGCCCTAAGTTTTGATTGTTCAAAGCCTACATTGCTGCAGAGTGCACATTTGCACGGTTTGAGTATATGTCGCAGTTGATTGTCTTCTCACTCCTCTGCCTCTTTCACATCTCATTGTGTTTGTGTGTATATGTAGTAAATAACAAAAAGATGTTTACTGTGGTGAGATCTTCAAGGGCACGGGTGTGCTCAGCAGCTCTGTCTCTGAAACGTTTCTCATAGCAGGGTTTCACCAACTGTAAGCACAAATTTGACTCTATATTACAGCTTTTGTTGGCTCCACATTCACAGCATTTAATACATTGTGCAAACACATCCTCCCACATGTCATGGCCAGTCAGAAAAGGGCCAAGTATTACCCTGCTGTGGTATAATACCACACACCGTTTGGAAAGAAACAAACAAAAAAACTTCTGTCTGTCTTGATAACACATTATTTTCAGTCTTTGTTCTCAAGTGTGCTCCAAAAAACAAACCAGTCTTTCAACCCAAAGTCACTGACTTGGATTCTGTGATCTCCTGCAAGGTAGATCGTGGTTGTTCTTTGGGCTTGATGCTAGCACTAACCATGTAAATATTGTTGTCACTGATCGTGTTGGAGACTTTGCACGGCTTACAACATAAACACAGCCACGACAGCTGATTGACCTCCCTTTTGAAGCTTTGGCTGAAGAAGTAGTAGATCACAGGGTTGTAAACAGTAGAGCTCTTTGCAAACATGCATGGCAGCAGGCTGACTTCAGGTGGGATGGTGCTGCTGTCACGGAAAATGGACCACAGGCTTACCAAACCGTAGGGTGTCCAACAGCATATAAAGCCTATACTGATCAAAACAGCAATCTGAAATAAAACAGGAGGATAAAGTCAGCAAAAAACTCTCAAAGTCGATGAAAACAAAGGCAAGAATTTCATTGGATTATGATTGGGAGCGTCACTGATTTAGTTATAGTCATGGTTAGAAAAAAACCCCTATCAATTCTCAGGTTTTACATATTGGGACATAATAAGAATGATCTGGTTCTTAGAAAGTCTTAAAATGAGGTAAATAACAACTTCAGGTACAGCAACACATCACATAATGCATCATGGCATTACTTAATAAAAACTAAGCCTAAATGCAGAAGCCGTGTGTGAAAAACTGACCAACCAAAGGACAATCAAACCATGGCAGCACAGCTTATGTTTGCAAATAGGGTCTGAGCAAACCATGTGACTTCTGGAACAATGTTTGGAGAGAGGAGACTAAACTGTAGATGTTTGGTCATACAGCACAGCACCACATTGGTGAAAACCAAACACCTCATACCAACTGTCAAGCACGGTGGTGGCAGGTTCATGATATGGATTCATTTTCTTGCCACAGGACTTGGACACCTTGCAGTCACTGAGTTAAGCATGAAGTAGCTGTACACCAAAGTGCTCTAGAGTCAAGGTTGAGGCCATTTGTCTGATGGAAAATGAGTCGTGCAACAGGACAGTGATCCCAAGCACGGCAGCAAATCTCCAAAAGAATGGCCGAAGGCACACAAATCAAGGTGTAGCGATGGTCCAGTCAAAACTCAGACCTCAACTCAAAATAAATTCTGTGGTTTAACCTTAAAGGAGCTGTGCATAAACAAATACCTGCAAACCTCACTGAACTGAAAGAAGAGTGAGACAAAATTCCTCCTCAGCATTGTGATAGACTGAAAAGGTCATACAGAAAACCAT